GGCTTATGAGGCCATGTTTGCTCATCTGTTTCCCTCATCAAACGTGGGGGTCTGCTCACTGCCTGGCCCAGAACACCTGAGAGGATGAACTGCCATTTGCCATCTTTGCCCACATTGAAGTTAGGACCAGTCAGCAGACCCCTTTCCTTCTCAGACCTCTACTTCCCACCTTCTTGGTTTCCCTGATCTAGGCAAAGCTCTTCTAACTCAAACCTTCTCCACCCAGCTTTCCTTTCCCTGCAGAACCACTCACATACCTGCCTTCTTCTCCGCTTTGGGAGCTCCTTGTAGGCCTCTTGTTTGCTAGATAGTGTTCTTTTCCAGCTCAGCCTTATCTGGTCTATTCCACTGTACTGGCTCTCTGCCACCTAGGGCTGAACCTCCTCCACTGTGCCTGCCCGAGACCTTCTCTTTGGCCCTTGGGCACCCTGCTGCCTGGACACAAATAGTAGCATGGTGCTTGCTGTTTCTGGGTTGGCAGCATCCCACCTGGGCCTTGGACCAGGGCACAACTCAGGAAGTAGAGCAGAGAACCGGTGGCGGCTAAGCAACTCCCTTTCTCTGTGCCTGGCTATCTCCTCTCTTTGTCAACAATGTTTATGTAGGTTAGAAAAAATAATAGTACAGATCCTGGCTGTATACCCAGCTTCAGGGGGAAATAGGTAACATGAGTAGATATAATGTAAAAAACAGAAACAATCCTCTGTAGGATGATGGATAAAAGGCCCTAAAGACATCCATGTTCTAATCCCTGGAACCTGTGAGCATGTCACTTTACATGGCAGAAGGGACTTTGTAGATGTGACAAGTTAAGGATTTGGGCATGGGAGATGATACTGGATTATCTGCATGGATCTGATGCAACCACAGGGTCGTTGTAATAAACAGGGAAGTCAGAGAAGATGCAATGCTGCCGGCTTTGAAGATGGAGGAAGCAGCCACAAGCCAAGGAATGTAGGCAGCCTCGCAAAAGTAGAAAAGCCAAGGAAACAGATTTTCCCCTAAAATCTCTAGAAAGGAATGCAGCCCATGGGCCCATTTTAGACTTCTAATCTCCAGGACTGTAAGAGATTAGATTTGTCTGCTTTTTAAGCCACAGAGTTTGTGGTGATCTGTTAGAGTAGCCAGAGGAAACTAATACATCCTCCCAGCAGGATGGTAGGTTACCAGCTTTTGACTTTATACTGGATGCAGTGGGAAGCCATGAGTGGAGTCTGAGTAGGGGAGTGATGCATTTTATGGAAGATCCCACTGACTGCCAGGCAGGATGTGATTATCAGGGCACAAGGGTGGAAGGAAGTGGGAAGACCAACGAGGAAACATCAGTGATGGTCACCTGGATGGGTGGAGACTGAAGATGGAGAGAAGTGGATGGACTAGATGCATCCTAGGAGTGACTGATTGGACCTAGAGACTGGGGGCGGGGGGGTTGGGGATGATGCCTGTGTTCCTAGGCCATTCCTGTAGCAACAAGCACAGAGGAGAAGGATAATGACTAACTGAGCCTTGACCAATGCCCGTAGTTTGGGGTGGGGACAGAGGGGAGGGTCAGGATGTTTTAGGAGACTGTGGTCCGTTGGGGGGAGTTTCAGGTGGTTCAGACGGTCAGATATGGCATCGATGAAGACAAGCCAAAGTCTTCTAAAAATCAATATCTCATTGAATTCAGGCTGTGGAAGAATCCTATAAATTGTAAATGTTAGGATTGGGTGAATATTAAGCTTAGAAATGTATTTTGGAGATGGAGCCATGTGACTTTTTTGGGAGTGGGAAACTAGGGGTATATCAGTATCTATTGTTGTTGTTATGTGCCATTGGTATCTATTACTGCATAACAAATGACCCCGAAACATAGCAGCTTGAAACAACAATGAACATTTGTTACCTCATACAATTTTTGTGAGTCTGGAATCCAGAGATAACTTAGCTGGATGATCCTAGTTTAGGGTCTCTCATGAGGTTGCAGTAAACATGTTGATTGGGCTGCAGTTATCTAGAGACTTGACTAGGTTGGGGAACTGCTTCCAGTCTGCACGTGGTTGGCAAGCTAGTGTTGGCTACTGGCGAGGTCTCCCCAAGTGAGCCTCTTTAGAGGGCTGAATAGTGTCTTTACAGCATGGCAGCTGGCCTTGCCCAGTTTGACTGATCCAAGGGCAAAATAGAAGCCACAATGTGTTTTTGTTTTTTATTAAAAAAAATATTTTATTATGTTTTTGGTGAAGGTTTATACAGTAGTATAGGTTCCCATTCAGCAGTTTCTGCACAGGTGTTCAGTGACTTTGGTTTCATTCTTCACAGTGTGTGAACAATCTCATTATTTCTGTTCTGGTTGCTCTGTTTCCATTAAACTAGTTTCCCTGCCTCCTTACATTCTCATCTTTGTTTTAAAGTTATTATTGACCATCTGCTCTCATGTAGGTGATATTTGAAAGGAGCACGGTACTTATAGGTACTTTTCATTATTTTTTTAGCCAATTTGTTATTTAGCTACAAGGTGACCTTAGGGGTTAGTTTCCATTTGTGGTTTGAAGAGTATCTCAAGGCAGTACTCTCGGAGAGCACTCCAGTCTTAATTAGTCCAGTAGGTCTGGGCCACAATATTTTTTATGGCCTAGTCTTGAAAGTAACCCTCCATCATTTCCACATTACCCTATTCTGAGTGGGAGAGGATGCCACAGGAGCATAAATACCAAGATGTGAGAATCATTGGAGGCTGGCTATGCTGGGGTTGGCACTGGGAGAACAGAATTGACTGTAGTATTCTGTTTTCTCATATCTCTATGACTTTAGACAAGCCATGTTATCTTTCTGAACCTCAGGTTCTACCTGAACAACAAATGAACTGGGTTGTGTGATGTTTTATGTTCCTTATTAGCCCTGATGTAAAATAACTAACATTATGTAGTGTGCATGGCATCTTTTAAAAATATCCCTAAAAAACAAGGACACATTTTATTCTGGGAGCTTTATTGAGATATAATATACACACTGTACATTTCAGTGGTTTTTAGTGTATCCAGAGTTGTGTGTGTCACCACAGTCAATTTTAGAACATTTATCACCCTAAAAAGAAAACTCATGCCTTTTAGTTATCATTCACCTCACTCCCAACCTCTCTAGTCCTAGCTTTCTTTCACTATAGATTTCCCTATTCTGGGTGTTTCATGTAAATAAAATCATATGTCTTTTGTGACTGGCTTCTTTCACTTAGCATAATGTTTTCAAGGTTCATCCATGTTGTAGCATCTATCACGTATCAATACTTCATTCATTTTTATGGCTGAATAATACGCCATTGTATGAATAGAGCTCTGGTGGCGTAATGCCTAAGGCATTTGACTGCTAACCAGAAGGCTGCTGGTTCAAACCCAACAGCTGCTCCTCGGAAGGAAGGCTGGGCAGTCTACTTCTGTAGTGATGCCACCTTGGAAACCCAAGGAGGGGTCACTATGAGTCAGATTCAACTTGACAGCAGTGAGTTAGGGTTTTTTTTTTTTTTTTTTTTTAGTATGAACAGACTACATTTTGTTTATCTGTTCACGATTGATGGACATTTCATTTGTTTTTACTCTTTGGCTGTTATAAATAATGGTGACATTTTGTGTACAAGTTTTATGTAGACATATCTTTTCAGTAGATGTTTAAGGTGAGAATTGCTAGGTCAAATGGTAACTCAGTATTTAACTTTTTGAGGAACTCCCAGACTGTTTCCCAAAGTGGCTGCACCATTAAACATTCCCACCGGTAGTAGTGAAGGTTTCAGTTTCTCTGTCCTCCTGAGCACGTTTGATACCTGATTTATTCATCTTAGCTTGTGTGACTGGGTAGCTCGTTGTGGTTTGGGATCTGCATCATCGTGATGCCGGATGATGTTGGGCAACTTTTCATGTGTGTATTGGCCATTTGTATATCTTTGGAGAAATGTCTATTCATACCCTTTGCTTATCTTTCAGTTGGGTTATTTGTCTTTTCATTATTGAGTCACAGGAGTTCTTTTTTCATATGTCTGCTAGATACAAGTCCCTTATCAGATTTTTGACTTGCAAAAATTTTCCCCCATTCTGTGGATTGTCTTTTCACTTTCTTGAAAGTGTCCTCTGAAGCAGAACACTTCTTAGTTTTGATGAAATTCAGTTTATTTTTTCTTTCGTTGCTTATGCTTTGATACCGTATCTAAAAATCCATCGCAATTTTTTGGGATCTAAAAATCCTAAGATCACAAAGATTTACATTTATCCTCATGTTTTCTTCTAAGAGTTTTATAATTTACACTTTTGCCTTTAGGTCTTTGATCTGTTTTGAGTTGATTTTTATATATTGTGTGAAGTAGGGGCCAGCTCCATTCTTTTGTATCTGGAAATCCAGTTGTCCTAATACTATTTGTTGAAGAAATAATTCTTTTCCCATTGAGTGGTATCAAGATCTTGCCAAAAATCAGTTGAATCTGTTTCTAGACTGTGTATTCTATTCCACTGATCTGTGTGTCTGTTGTTATGCCAGTACCACCCTGTCTTGATTACTGTAGCTTTGTGTAAGTTTTGAAAATTAGAAAGTAAGAATCCTTCAACTTTATTCTTTTTCAAGATTATTTTGGCTCTTCTCAGTCTCTTTGTTTCCTTATGAATTTTAGCACCAGCTTATCAATCTCTACAAAAGAGCCAGCAAGGATTCTGATAAGGGATTGTATTGAATTTCAAAGTCTTCTGAGCCCTTTGTATATAGTTGCTCATTTAATCTTCACAATAGCCCTATGAAAAGTCCTACTTTCCTACCCATTTCATAGATGAAGAAACTAATTAAGAAACTTGCCTAAAGTTACACAGCTGGCAAGTGGTCAAGCCAGTGTTTGAACCATGGCTCCTGAGTCCATGGTCGTAACCACTTTGAAAGCCGCTTCTCTAAGGTGACTTATTATCTTGGTGTACCTTCCCTGAGTAGCAGTGTTCTGCAGCTGGGTACCGTGCAGAACCCACACTGCATCCATGTTCCTTGTGTTTCAGGCAGCCAGTGAAGATTATGTACTCCTCCAGGGACCCTGCCAAGCCAAAAGGCTCCAAGGTGGATGTGAATGAGGAGGCGGAGGCTTTGATCGTCAAGTCCCCCCAGAAGGAGCGGAATCCATCCCTGTTCAAGGTGTTATACAAGACCTTTGGGCCCTACTTCCTCATGAGCTTCTTATTTAAGGCACTCCACGACCTAATGATGTTTGCTGGCCCGGAAATCTTAAAGTAAGACCCCTTCCTTCCCAGCTGGGCTCCTCTATGCTCTTCCTTGGTTTGACCTCTCTCCCGTGGTGTGCTCAAGTGGGCTTACAGTCAAGTCTTCCTGTCTTTACTCACTTTACTTTATAACTTACAAGCATTTATATCTATATATATTCCAAAGGAGCTCTGGTGGTGCAGTGCCTAAGGCATTTTACTCCTAACCAGAAGGTTGGTGATTCAGACCCACCAGCTGCTCCGCAGAAGGAAGACAGGGCAATCTACTTCCATAAAGATTCACCGCCTTGGGAACCCAATGAGAATGACTGTGAGTTGGAATTGACTCAATGGCAGTGAGTTTGGTTTGGTATATGTATCCCAAGAGTGAAAGAGAGCTCGAGCTAATGAAAAACTGCAACCAGGCCGTCAGAGACAGGGTCTCCTCTCTCTCCCTCTCCTCTGTCTCTCTGGGTCTCTGTTCTCTCTTTCTTCACCGCTCCCTCTGTCTCTTTCCGACTCTGTCTTTCTCACGGTCTGTGTGTCTTACCTGGATGTCTCTGCTTCTCTCCTCTCTATTTCTCTCTGTCTGTCTGTCTGTCTTCTCCTCTCTTCTATCTCTGCCTTTCTCTGTATCTGTCTTTGCCTCTCTCTCCCTCCTTCCTCCTCCTCTCCCTATCCTCTTTCTTTGTCTCTCTCTTCCCCTCTCTGTCTATCTCTGTCTCTCTCTCTCCTTTTGCTCTCTCTCTATTCCTTCCCCTGGCCCCTTACTCTCTCTCACTCTTTCTGGGGCCACACATTTATGCTCTTTTCCTCTTACCTGTGCTCTGTCCCTAATATTCTCTGTTTGGTCACCCTCAGGGTACTAAGAACTCACTGATGACAAGTGCATGGAGCCTGGGGCAGAGGTTCTATGCTGTGAACTGTCTGGGCTCCCTGCACTGTCCAGTCACCTCTGTGGACCTGTTCTTCCATTTATAAAATGGGAGGAATGACATCTCCTCCAGCTGGCCCAGGAGAAAGTTGGGCTCCTAACCTCGCATTGAGAGACTCTTCCCTCATGAGTGTGCTGCTTTCCAGTGATGCAGGCCTCTGTCCTTGCTCCTTAGGCTGCTCATCAGCTTTGTCAATGACAAGAAGGCCCCGGACTGGCAGGGCTACTTCTACACGGTGCTCCTCTTCATCTCTGCCTGCCTCCAGACCCTTGTACTGCACCAGTACTTCCATATCTGCTTCGTCAGTGGCATGAGGATCAAGACTGCTGTCATTGGGGCTGTCTACCGAAAGGTAGGTGACGCTGGTCGTGGCATGATGGCTGGTGTTGGCGTCTCCCGTGGGCAACCTCTAAACCTATAGGGACCTGGCTGGGTCATTTGGGATGACTGTAGGGGTGTTTGTTTCCTAAAGCTTGCTGTAACAGAAATACCACGAATGGTAAAGAACAGGAATATATTTTCTCATACTTCAGGAGGCTGCAAGTCTGAATTCAGAGCACCAGCTATAGGCAAATGTTCTCTGTTGGCTCTGGGGGAGGGTCCTTACGTCAGCTCCTGTAGCCTGGCATTCCTTGATTTCTTGGTGTCTTAGTTATTTAGGGCTAACAGAAATACCACAGGTGAGTGGCTTACACAAACATTTATTTTTTCACACTTTAGGGGGCTTGAAATTCGAACTCAGGGCACCAGCTCTAAGAGAAGGCCCCTCTCTCTGTCAGCTCTGGGGGAAGGTCTTTGTCCCTATTCAGCTTCTGTTGTTGTTATGTGCTGTCAAGTCGGCCCTGACTCATAGCGACCCCTCCTTGGGTTTCTGAAGCAGTATCACTATGGAAGTAGGATTGCCCAACCTTCCTTCTGAGGAGTGGCTGGTGGGTTTGAACCACCAGCCTTCTGGTTAGCAGTCAAGTGCCTTAGGCACTATGCTACCAGTGCTCCCATTCAGCGTCTATTCCTGAGCAGTCATGTAACCTGGCATCTGTCTTCCCCCATCTCTGTTTGTTTCCTTGCTTAATTGGTCCTTATATATCTCAAAAGAGATTGTTTTTAAAACAGACCTTACATGAATACTGCCTTATAACATAACAAAAAAATCTGTTGCTAAATGGGATTATAACCACACATTTACCCTTGCATGACCCTTGCGTTGATTCAGATTCTTAGAGACCATATAGGACAGAGTAGAATGGCCCCAAAGGGTTTTCAAGACTGTAATCTTTATGGAACAGACTGCCACGTATTTCTCCCACAGAGTGGCTGGTGAGATCAAACGCTGACTTTTCGATTAGGAGGCATGCGCTTAAGCATTATGCCATCAGGGCTCTTTAATCACAGATGTAGGATTTACAGCACACACACACACATACACACACACGTTTTATTATTAACTTTTTATTGTGATTATGATTTTGGGGGAAGTTTACAGAGCAAATTTCTTTTCTTTTCAATAGTTCTTACACATTTTGATTCATAACAGTGATTGCCATCCCCACAGTGTAACAGCTGTCTTTCCACTTTCTCCTTGTGGTTACCTTTCCCTCTGTCCTTCTTTCCTAAGCTTTTCTGCCTTCTGAGCTTTTTTCCTTAGGAAATGCTGCCCTTCTGATCTCCTGTGGTTGATTTTCTAAGCAGTGTTCCTCCCTGGTGTAATTGCTCATCTCATAGGCCTGTCTATTGTTTGGCTGAAAGTTAAGCCACAGAAGTGAGTTCACTTCTAGTCCTGAAGGGTGACTAGGAGACATACTCTCGGGGGTTTCACCACTCTCTGTTACATCAGTAAGCCTAGGCTTTTCTATGATTTGGAGTTTTGTTCCACATTTTTCTCCCACTCTATCTATCTAGGATCTCCAAATTTGAATCCTTTCTGAGTGGTTGACAGTGGTAGCTGGGCACCATCTAGTTTTCCTGGTCTCAGCATCATATAGGCTAAGGTTTCCATGGAACACTACTAGTCCCTTGGAATAATTGTTCCCGTGTATCTTTGCTTTTCTTCCCTCTTCTCTGCTCCAGATAAGGGAAGACGAATAGTTGTATCTTTGCTATTGTGAATAGTACTGTGATGAACATGGGGATACATGTATCTATTCATGCCCTACCTAACTCTCACTTCTTTAGGATATATAGCCAATACTGAAATTGCTGGATCAAATGGTATTTCTGTTTGCAACTTTTTATGGAAGCTCCATACTGTTTTCCACAGTGATTGTACATTTTACAGTCTGACAGCAGTGTATGAGATTTCCAATCTTTCTATACCCTTACCAGCGTTTGCTGTTTTCTGTCTTACAAACTTTTAAGACTCCAGTTACTACTCAACAAAGTAGGATATACAAAGAACAATATTTTTGTATACTGTGTTATGCCATGGTCCCAATCTCGCAGGCCCAGCAACTCACTCTTTCAAGGTGTTTGATTGTGGCTAAGAAGTTATCATAACTTTGCCCCCTGTTACCTCTATTATTTATACGGTCATTTTCATAGCACATACAAATATGTATTAGAAATATCGTCTGCCACATCTACGTATGGTCATGGGTGTATTCCTGTTCCGGTACCCATTCCTGCTCCTCTTGCCTATTTACCTGTGTATCCACCCGTAGATTAACGTTTGTGATTACTGATAATGCAGTAGTTTGTGTGTAATAGTGTCTACCTTTATTGTCTGCACCTCTTGTGCATGTGTTCCTTTTCCTTAGTGATACCTTGCTGGTCACTCACTTTTGGTATATTGCCTTTCTCCTCACTCAGATCAATATACATGTTTCACCTAGCTAGAATTTTTTCTTCCCCTCCCCTCCCATCCCTGGTAACCAACAAAGTTTCCTTCCATGTATAAACCTTTTCTTGATTTTTACAATAGTGGACTCATAATATTTGCCCTTCTGTGATTGACTTTATTCAGCATAATGTCCTCCAAGTTCATCCACATTATGAAGTGATTCGCTGACTCTTCATTATTCTTTAATGTTGCATGATATTCCATTGTGTGTATGTACTATAGTTTGGTTACCGTTCCTCCGTTGATGGGCACTTGTTGTTTCCATCTCTTTGCTGTTGTGAGTAGTACTGTGATGAACATGGGGATACATATATCTATTCATGCCCTACCTAACTCTCTCTTCTTTAGGATATATACCCAATACTGAAATTGCTGGATCAAATGGTATTTCTATTTTCAACTTTTTATGGAAGTGCCATACTGTTTTCCACAGTGATTGTACATTTTACAGTCTGACAGCAGTGTATGAGATTTCCAATCTTTCTATACCCTTACCAGCATTTGCTGTTTCTGTCTTATTGAACTTAGCTATTATTACTGGGGTGAGATAATACGTTTTTGTTGTTTTGATTTGCATCTCTGTAGTTCATGTGTTTGTTAGCTGCCTGATTATCTTCTCTGGTGAAGTGTCTGTGTCCTCTGCTCATTTTTTAATTGGATTGTTTGTCTTTTTGGGTTGAGGTGTTAAGTTTTCTATAAATTTTAGAAATAAATCCCTTTTTGGATATATCATTGCCAAATATTTTTTCCCAATTTGTCGTTTCTCTTTTTACTTTTTTTTTGGAGAAGTCTTTTGATGTGCATAAGAATTTGATATTTAGAATGTCCCAGTAATCTAATTTATCTTCTGCTCTTTGTGCATTTTGGTTATGTTTGATAGTCTATTGATGCTGTAATATCTGGTAGCGCTGTGCTAACCAGAAGGTTGGCAGTTCAAATCTACCAGTCTCTCTGTGGAAGGAAAATGAGGCAATTTACTCCTATAAAGATTTACCACCTCAGTAACCCAATGGGTGTTGCTGTGAGTCAGAATTGACTCAATGACAGTGAGTTTGGTTTCACTTTATAGGGCCCCTAAATTTGCCCCTGTTTTCACTTTGATGAATAAGTTTTGGTTATAGGTTTTACATTTAGGTCTTTGATCCATCTTGAATTAGTTTTTATCTATGGTGTGAGGTATGGATGTTGTTTCATTTTTCTGCAAATGGATATCCAGTTTTGCCAGGACCATTTATTATAGACTGTCTCTTCCCCATTTGATGGGTTTCAGTCCTTTGTCAAAGATCAGCTGTCCATAGATGGATCTACTGTATTCTCAGTTTTGTTTCACTGGTCTGTGTGTCTGTCATACCAGTACCCAGGCTGTGTTGACTACTACCATGGCTATCCAGTAGGTTTTGAAATTGGGCAGTGTGAGACCTCCTACTTTGTTTTTCTTCATTAGTGCTTTGCTTGTTCAGGGTCTGTTTCCTGTTCATACCATTAATGACCAGTTTTTCCATGTCCGTAAAGAATGCCGTTGGAATCTGGATCTGGATTACATTGACTTTATAGAGTGCTTTGGGTTAAGTTCATTGTTTTTCTAATGTTGAACCATCATTGCGTATCTAGTATGAATCCCACTTGGTCATGGTGTATTATGTTTTTTTGCTATAGTGTTGGATTCTGTTGGCTAGGATTTTGTTGAAGATTTTTGCATATGTATTCATGAGGGTTATTGTTGTTGTTGTTGTTGTTATGTGCCATTGAGTCGGGCCTGACTCATAGTGACCCCTCCTTGGGTTTCCGAGGCGGTATCACTACAGAAGTAGATTGCCCAACTTTCCTTCCAAGGAGTGGCTGGTGGGTTTGAACCGCTAGCCTTCTGCTTAGCAGTCAAGTGCCTTAGGCACTACTGGTCTGAAATTTTCCTTTTTAGTGGTGTCTTTGCCTGGTATTGGTATCGGGGTTATGCTTGCTTCATAAAATGAGTTTGGGAGGATTCCATCCTTTTCTGTGTTCTGGAAAAGTTTGAGTAGGATTGGTCAGCTCTCAAAGTTCAGTGGAATTCTCCAGTGGAGCCATCTGGATCAGGACTGGATTTTTTTTTTTTGGTAGCTTTTATATGACTTTGTTCAATTTTTTCTTTTGTTATGTGTCTGTTCAAATTTTCTACCTTTGTATGTGTTACTTTAGGTAGGTAGTGTGTTTCTGGAAATCTGTCCATTCTTCTAGGTTTTCAAATTTGTTGGAGTACACTTCATAGTATCCTGATACTATCCTTTTTATTTTGATTGGTTCTGTTGTGATGTTGCTCATCTCATTTCATATTCATGTTATTTGCATTTTCTCCTTCTTTTCCTTTGTTAAGTTTGTGAGGGGTTTGTCAATTTTATTAATCCTTTCAGAGAACCAACTTCTAATGTTGTTGATTATTTCTGTTCTTTTTCTGTTTCATGTACTTCTGCTCAAACCCTTATTATTTCTTTGCTTCTGATGAGTGCAGACTTTTTTTGTTGTTGTTTTGGTTACTCTTT